GAAGTTCAGTCTGTTGCTAAGGACATTTCGAATGCGTTTGACAGTATTTAACATGCTAGTCTTCTTCACAAACTGAAATGCTACGGTTAATTTTCTAGAACTTTTGCGTTAATGCAGGCGTCCCCGAGGGCTCTATCCCTGCACCTACTTATTTATGATGATGATATAGCTACTTACTTCTGTCTTTAAAAAAAAGTCTGATAGTCTAGGTAAAGTCAAATTGGCAATTGATCTCGAAATTAACCTTCGATTTGTTGTTAACTGAGACAAAAAATGGCTTGTAGATTTTAACGCCTCCAAAATTCAACTGCTCTTAGAGAAGCATTTTTGCCCTTCATCACACTAAATGATACTAATCTTAAGAAAAAAACCTCATTGAAGCTTCTCGGTCTCACGTTTTTTAATGACATGAATGAAAGTGGAATGATTATATTGTGCTAATTGCTCGTTTTGATGCGAAGACGTTTGGTTCACTGTGTTCTGCTAGACAGTTTCACTCTCGCCATAATATATTTTCCTTGTTTATAAATCTACCTTTTGACAGGGAATAGAAAATTACTACTGCCTCTGGTCTGATACGTCCTCTCTATATCTACAGATTCTTGACGAAATTCAAAGAATAATCTTCAATGCTATCGACCCTTTTCATGGCAATTGTGCTGACGAACATTTCCATTTTGATTCTCGACTTCATGAATTTAAGATTACTACACGATTGGCAGCTCATTATTTTATTGTTGAAATAACTAGATATAGTCGTAGGTTTTATTCTAATAGTTATTTCTCTGCGGAACTCTTTTCTGGCTCATTGCTTTCCTTTCAACTACGATCTTTAAAATGTAAATGTAACTTCAATCTCCATTTTCTGCCGTTTTAATTCCAATTCTTTTATTGTCATGTCTTCTATCTAACGTTTTCTCATTTTATTTCTCATTTTAATCACTTTTGTCTCAATGGATTTATCGCCTTGTTTGGGATGATTAAAAAAACGACTTTCAAATAAACACTAAACATTATCGTGACACAACGTTAAACAAGTTATTTAAGTCTTATCTGATCCATGATTTTTAGTGGGTAGTGTAAATCTTGATGTCAACAAAGTAAGCCAAACACCAAACGTTTCTTATGAATTCTTATTAATTGGATTGAAGAGTTTCCAGCGACATCAGTCTTCGGAAAGTGCAGCTGTGTTCTTGAATTTCATTCCGTTCTTCATTGTCTATGCAGTCAGTAAACAATGAACTGTTGTTTACAAGTTTACCAAAAAATCTGAAACTAGGAAAATGTGTTTTGCATACTTACTGTAAGAAAAGTCACTCATCGTTTAAATATTGAACTTTCTTTTGTTCCTAAATTGAGAGGAGATTATGCCATTGGTGCGGAATAATGGATTGATTAGGAGAATATAAGAGAAAATGGTCATGGTGTGAACTACGAAATTGAGATGTCGAAATGAAACAGGTACAAAAGTTTAAGTATCTGGGAAAAAAATCAGAGAATAGATAATGTGACAACGAAATCCAAGCCTGTGTTAAAATAGTAAAAGATAATATCCAAAAACTAAGCAAATTATGAGGAAACAGGAAAAATTTTAAAAAAAATGGGGGGGGAGGTTCAAATACTATTTAATATCAAAGTTCATATATAGCAGTAAATGCTAAACAATTTCCTCACAGATGAACAGAAGTTTGGAGGCAAAAAGGGTGTAGCTCTAGAGAAGGATGCTGTGAATACCATGGATGAATCAGGCAAGCAATGTGTAATTCTTAAGATACAAAAAAAGACACTTATACTCTGAATAATGAGGAAGGAAGGCTTGGAGAATTTTCAAAAGGGACAAGATGGTAAAATGACGAAGGGCTACAAAGAAAAAGAAATAATGGAACTACTACTCACAGAGAAGAAAACTAATAAGATTGTAGTTAGATCCAGGACATACTTCAATATTTTAATTTAAATGGAATCTTTGTTCTCTGACATTGGTGTCGAATTCAAAGAGAATTCTTCATGGCGAAATTTCTGTAATCTAGACAGATCGTCTTTGAGTAACGCAATTCTGATAAATTTGATTGTTTGAATGAGAGAAAAGGAAGTATTTTCTTGGCAAATGATTTGCTGCATTACAAGGCACTTCTCAGTCGACATCTGTTGCCTTCACATTTTCGCTTGTCAGCAGCTCAAAAATCCCAAAATATCAAATCATTTAACACAGGGATCGTTCATTTATGATTCTATCGTTTTACTTACATTTTAAATCCGTCTGAAGATTTCGGATTAAATATTTCCAATATTCTACAAATCTCTATCTTCAAAATTTCTATTATTTACTACCTGGTCTTTTTGTCAATACATCCTTTGGCCTCCACATTTCAGAGACTTTACTGAAAGGTGAAGATGCGTCATAAGCCATTCTGGACTCGTTAAATCGGTATGTTTTCTTTTGACTATTGGCTACATTTATTAAAAGTTAGCGGTAAATTCATGTTGTCACGCTTAAAGCTGACGGTAATATTTTAAAAAAATGAGAAATATAGTCAAGCGATCAAGGATAAGGAAAATGTCAAATTTGCACATGTTATATATTTCAACAGTAAATGTGAACCATTCTTAGGAATTTAAGAACACAATACGGGAGCTGACAAATGATACCCGAATTGTTGTGTTCAGTTTCTGTTATAACGATCAAAAAAGGAAAACTGATGATGTGAAAATCAGTATTAAATGTGATGCTAATGCTATTTTAAATTGCAGAAAATAATTATTTGAAAATCAAATTACATAAATGTTTCTCAAAATGAATGGCTCCAAGCAGTGGATGAATAAATTAATTTCATTTTCGTTGAGTGAATTTTTTTTATTTTTATTTACAAGACTATTAGACATTTTGGCAGAAATTTTACGCATTAAATATAATAACTATTATGGGAGAAAGTTAATAAAATTTTCCAGTATTTAAATATAAGAATCGTCTTGATTTCTTCATAAATTGCAAGGATACGTTATGGAATTTTGTGCATTCATGAGGTAAAATCAATGATTTTACCTAATTTTCTTATCACAGTTTTTAACGAGTTTTATATCCAAACATATTTAAAAAGATACAATGAACATAATGCCACATTTTGTAAAACTAAATGACCATAAAGTGATGTTAAATTGTTTGAATAGTTTAATGATTTTTCTCAGATTCTCAAATCTAGCGTTGGGACATGTTAGTAAATGACGTTGTAGGTGTGAGTTGGTAAAATAATAACGCTTATTAAATAGACTCGTGTATATTAAATAGTCTCGTGTATATTAAACAGACTGGTTTATATTAAATAGACCCGTGTATATTAAATAGACTCGTGTATATAAAATAGACCCGTGTATATTAAATAGACTCGTGTATATAAAATAGTTTCGTGTATATTAAATACACTCGTTTATATCGACTTTCTTCAGAGCTGTGGTAATTTTGCCTTTAAATTTCCTTTCAATATTCTCTTTAGTTTGGAACAAAAAAGAATGCTTAATATAATTGTGAAGTATTTAACATGCTTAATATAATTGTGAAGTGTTTGGATTCCTTTCCATTTTTGAATTATTCCCAAAATGATTCGAAACGCTTTTTCGACGAAGTTACAAAGATAACATATTATAGTTTGTTTCTGGCTTCATTTTTCATCTCGTCTGGGTCAGCTTTCTTCTTTTCCCATAAATGTATTTATTTTTTCCTTTCCCTCTCCATAGTGAGAGAGCCTCTTGATTTTTCTAAAAGCAGAACACAGCGGTCTTTCTGAATTCTTTTCAGGGTTTGTTTTGATATTTTAGTTTGTTTTTGGGTTCACCCCTCCCCACCTCGCGCTCATTACGTATCATCTACAGATTTTGTATATAGAATTTTGTAATCGTTAATTTTTACGTCATGGGGTTTTGTTGTATGTCGGCTCAGAATATGCGGTATTGTGACATATGGACGATTGAATGATGTTGGAGAAGTTCTTTTGGTGGATGTGAAAATTGTAATGAGTGAATGGGTCTTGAATCTGATTAGGTAGGTATAATAAGTGATGACCAACCTCAGCCCATTCCCCTCTTTGTCGATCTTGTGCCACAATTGTATTTTATATACAATAAATCTAGACAACGGATTATCTTGATCTTAATCCTTTTATTGGATAAATCTACTTTTTTATTTTGTTTTTTTTTAAATATACATCCGAAGAACGATTGAATTTTATTTGTTAACTTTAGCAACTGTCCTTCGAACTGAGACCTTTTTTTTCATCTTACCTATTTATCTATTCGTATGACTCATAAATTATTTAATGTTCTGCTTTTTATTTACAACTTTGTTTATCATTATATACAGATTTCTTTTCTTCCAGCAATATTTGTGCTATCACCTGTAACAAAAGTACATTTCATGTGTTTAGATTTTAGGCTTTTGCCACACTGAAAAAATATTATATCATATTAAAATTAAAAAAAAAGCTGAATTCTGTTGAATTACTGAGAAAAAAAATGTGGTGGCGCCATATGTAATGTACAGGCTTTTATAGATTGGCTGATTACAATCTAGTTTGTTCGAGTAAGTTGTTGAACAGTGGCCAGAGAGCTCAGGTCATGTTACACTGAAGAAAAAGATCTTCATAAAACTGCTTCCTCTTTCTCAAAGACTATTGAGAATTTTGCATGAGTGTAAGCTAAATATAGAAACAATTACTGCAGTTTGACAAACTAGTAGGCACCATGTCTCGTCTGGTAAAATTTTCCGGCGAAATAAATGCTTTTAGGAGAGAACAAAATCTTTCGTGGCACTGTTGCATAAAGATAACTAGAGAATGACAACATTTACTTTTTTTATGAATCACATTGTATTTATTGCTGCTGCCTTTCTATGTTATCACGTTAGCAAATGGAAAAATGTTGTCACATTGAGACAGTGTTGTCTTTTCGTTAATGGTACTTCTTCTTATAGAGATTTTGGTGTGTCTTGAAATACTGGAAGAGTCACCATGCAATCTCTCGCGTATATAAAATATTTTTATTGACTTCAAAACTATATTACTGTTGTGGAATTTCCGTGTTCAGAAAAACGTAACCAAAGCTTCTATTGAAAGAATTTTGTTGACGTCATGATTTTTTCGGCCTAGCAACAAGCAGTAGCCTTGACCCTTGAACATTTTCGATGGCACCTTCGTGACTCAGCCTAAAGGTTCCTGACATCACAATTCACTCCGCTAATCAACACCCAGCCCTTCTGGAAATATTCATGTTAAGGATGAAATCACCACCAGTCAATTATTCTCTTTAAAGATATTATGGGGACCCTGCGAGCCCTATTTAAGAAATTTCAAAAACTCACGAGAAGGCGTAGAATATTACTGCCTTCGCGACATATTGTCGCTTCCCGACTAAAAATAATATGACTTAAATATTTTAATACTCCTTTAAGACAATCTCGATGTGGTTTTAAAAAAGAGAATAAATAAAAAAAAAATAAAGATGCCAAACGCATTGTAATAAAATAAAATGAAAAGTGATGAGAGGACATCTTCAAAGAAAGTCAGTATAAACCAAAAGAAATCTTAAATCCCATCCAACCTTAAAAGACTTTAAATTTACCATATAAATATACACTTGCTTTCTTCATTCACCAATTGGTCAACACCCCTTTAATAAAAAAAATATGAATTCTCATTACCCAGTCAACTTAAAATATATAGTACTGTTTGACTTATGAATAGAGTAAATCAATTTTTTTCGAAAGCTATTCTCAATATCGCTTTAAAATTGGACCAAACTTCAAATATTTATTTTAATTTAAGATTTAAGTTTCGGTTTAGAAAGATAGTAATTTTTGTGTCGCGAAGGATACATATTTTTTTAAAAAAATAATTATAATACATAGATAAATATATATACAAAAAGATAAATACACACACACACACACACGTTCACACACACACATATATATATACATATATCTATCAATCCTTGTTCGAATATATATATATATATATATATATATATATACACGCACACACACACACACACGCACACACACACACACACATAGAGAAAGATAGAGAGAGAGGGGGGGAAAGAGAACAAAGAGTTCTTAAAGGTGTGGAAGGTTATAAATGTATGACAAAGTGGGAAAGGTTTTCTTGTGATGCGTTTCGTCTTAGGACTAAATTTGTTACATTGGTGCGACTGCGCATGCGCACGAACGAGTGATGCAGGGAATTATAATATTCTTTCTTTTTTTTTTTTATCTAGCCGATTTCACTTAGATTCTTTTTCTTTTCATCATTTTTGTTTAGTAGATATCCCTCACTGTGATAATAGAAGATCTGCCAGGAATGATAAAATGTAAGGACCAGGGCATAAACTTACTGTAGATGACCTTTTCAACAAAGCACTCTCTAGACATTTTCGTTGTAGTGGAATTTTTAGCATTTTTTATGTCAAAATTGTTCTCAGTCTCGTCACGGTTGGCAATTCCCAGCATCCCTCATTTGTGCGCATGTGTAGTCGCACCATCGTACATTGAATAAATAAAACATTAGTTAAACTAAAAAAAAACAAAAAAAAAACAAATATGATCACAATTTTTGAAAGTAGTTTTATTAAATTAATTTCCTTATCTTTCTTAACATAGAAGCCATGAAGCGTCTACCATGTTGGGAAAATCTATCGTCTGCAAAATGGTGTGAAGCAGTAGAAATGCAGTAAAATACTTAATGTCTACATAACTCTTAACAAGATTAAAATACACACTTAAATTACGGTAACATTTCATGAATTAAACACGCACACATGATGTCATGATATAACTACGCAACACAATTTGTACATATATACACACAGACTTACGCCATAAAATAAACACGTGACGTCTGAACAACGAATGAAAAGAAAGCAACATAGAATTTTAAAATCGAAACAACTCCACATTATTCTGCTTCCCATATTTCCGATGAAGCTAAATAAATAGCGAAACAGGTTAAAGTTTAAAAAGAGTTTTCTATTTGTGCTTTATTTAATCATTAAAAACACTATAGATTAGTTGCTTCAAAATGTTCATTCTGATATACGAAAGGTTGATCTATATATCTGCAAACATGCATCGTTATTAGCTGAACTTTTATCTAAAAATCTCACTGAATCCATGTGTTTAATAGAGAAATGTTGTGTTGTGGTGCATTGACAAAGAATAAATATTTGTTGATTAAAAATAAATGCTTCTTTTCATCATTCTGCTAAGAATACATAGATGTTGTTGCTTAAATGGAGAACATGACGCTTGATAAATAATAGAACAGGGTATTTAAAGAAATAATTCCAAGAAACACATCCGAGACTACAATTACCTATTTTCTGTTTGAATTGTGCAGCCATTGTTTTTTCTTATATTGTTTTCTATTATTAAATATTTTGAGTCATTTTCTCAATATTTACAACGTATGAATAAAAGTGTTTCTATGCACATAAATTTTTAATCAAAATTTGCATAAATCTTTAAATCGACGTGTAGCATTTTAGAGTTTGCTTCTTTTTTTTTAAGCATTTCACCCAAAGCAAGGCGGGAAGCAGCTAGGAGTGATAGAGGAAAGGATGAGGAGAAGAATAGTGGATAGAGTAAAGCAACTGGAGATGGCGATTGACATTACATTTGAAGAGTTGGAGATTATAGCTATCAGGGAAACAGGAAAAAGGAAAGGAGTTTCTACAGACGAGAGGTGCGAGATATGAAGCTATTGGAGTAGAAGAGACGGCTACATTTAGTAGTTTCGACAGTGAAAGGGTGAGAGCGGGATGCCAGCCTCGTAGGGCGCTTGAATTCATGAAGTCTGGGAAACAGCGAAAACGGCTCATCGGAGCAATTACCATGAAAGTATTTGTAAAAAAGACAGAGGGAGGCGACGGCACGTCTGTCAGAGAGCGACTGCAGACAAGATGCCAGATCAGGGCCAATTGCATTGCATATCCGTCTCTGGTTCTTATCAAGAACCCCGAGACAAACAGAAGGGGCTACAGACCATATATGGCAGCAATACTCCATGCAAGGGCAAATGGTTGATTTGTAGATTTGAAGGATCGATTCCGGGGAGAAAAATTTCCTGGCGCGGCACAAGGAGCCAACTTTCCTTGCGGTGGACGAAACAATTGATTCAATGTATTTCTGCCGAGAGCGACAGAAAAACATAATGCTGTTTCAACCAAAGAATGGTTACTTGGTAGAATTTGTATTCTCCACAGAATAATGTTATTATTTAATACTTCCTAAGTAATCTCCCTCATTCTCTCTCTTTCTGTCACTCACCTCATTCTTTCTCATTATCTCTTTCGTTCTTTCTCTTTCTCTCTCTCTCTTTCTCTCTCTCTCTCTCTCTCTGCCTCTCCTCTATCTCTCTAGTTCTTTCGCTCTATCTCTCTTTCGTATTATCCCTGTCGCTTTTTCACTCTCTCTTTCTCTTTCTCATTCTCTCTCGTTTTTTCTCTCTCTCGGCCTCCCCTTTATCTATCTCGTTCTTTCGCCTTCTCTTTCTTATTATCCCTCTCGCTTTTTCTCCCTCCTATTCTCTTTTTCATTATCTCTCTCTCTCTCTCTCTCTCTCTCCCTCTTTCTTTCTCATTTTCTCTCTCATAGACAAGGGTCTGTGGAAAAATGATCAGGCTTAAATGATTTCCCAAAACTCTAATTAAAAATCAGATATTTTGGAAGGGTTATTTGATTATAAAACTTTTCAGCATCCACTCGCTGAAATATGCCCGATCCTATTAAAAAGGGTATGAAGTAGTTTTATATATATATATCTAAAATTTTTCTTTTCAAGCCTATTTTTCATTTTTTTTCAGTGTTTCTTTTCTATAACTCTTTCCAAATATTCTTCCAGTTTTCTATTTCTCTCTTTCTACTTCTCTCTTTCTACTTCTCTCTTTCCACCTCTCTCTTTCTACTTCTCTCTTTCTACTTCTCTCTTTCTACTTCTCTCTCTCTTTCTATTTCTCTCTTTCTACTTATCTCTTTCTACTTCTCTCTTTCTACCTCTCTATTTCTACTTCTCTCTTTCAACCTCTCTCTATCTACTTCTCTCTTTCTACTTCTCTCTTTCTACTTCTCTCTCTTTCTATTTCTCTCTTTCTACTTCTCTCTTTCTACTTCTCTCTTTCTACCTCTCTATTTCTACTTCTCTCTTTCCACCTCTCTCTTTCTACTTCTCTCTTTCTACTTCTCTCTTTCTAACTCTCTCTTTCCACCTCTCTATTTCTACTTCTCTCTTTCCACCTCTCTATTTCTACTTCTCTCTTTCTACTTCTCTCTTTCCACCTCTCTCTTTCTACTTCTCTCTTTCCACCTCTCTATTTCTACTTCTCTCTTTCTACTTCTCTCTTTCTACTTCTCTCTTTCCACCTCGCTCTTTCTACTTCTCTCTTTCTACTTCTCTCTTTCCACCTCTCTCTTTCTACTTCTCTCTTTCCACCTCTCTCTTTCTACTTCTCTCTTTCCACCTCTCTCTTTCTACTTCTCTCTTTCTACTTCTATCTCTTTCCACCTCTCTCTTTCCACCTCTCTCTTTCTACTTCTCTCTTTCTACTTCTATCTCTTTCCACCTCTCTCTTTCCACCTCTCTCTTTCTACTTCTCTCTTTCTACTTCTCTCTATCTACTTCTCTCTTTCTACTTCTCTCTTTCTACCTCTCTCTTTCTACTTCTCTCTTTCCAGCTCTCTCTTTCTACTTCTCTCTTTCTACTTCTCTATTTCTATTTCTCTCTTTCTAACTCTCTCTTTCCAACTCTCTCTTTCTACTTCTCTCTTTCTACTTCTCTCTTTCTATTTCTCTCTTTCTAACTCTCTCTTTCCACCTCTCTCTTTCCACCTCTCTCTTTCTACTTCTCTCTTTCTACTTCTCTCTTTCTACTTCTCTCTTTCCACCTCTCTCTTTCTATTTCTCTCTTTCTACTTCTCTCTTTCTACTTCTCTCTTTCTACCTCTCTATTTCTACTTCTCTCTTTCCACCTCTCTCTTTCTACTTCTCTCTTTCCAACTCTCTCTTTCTACTTCTCTCTTTCTACTTCTCTCTTTCTATTTCTCTCTTTCTAACTCTCTCTTTCCACCTCTCTCTTTCCACCTCTCTCTTTCTACTTCTCTCTTTCTACTTCTCTCTTTCCACCTCTCTCTTTCTACTTCTCTCTTACTACTTCTCTCTTTCTACTTCTCTCTTTCCACCTCTCTCTTTCTACTTCTCTCTTTCCACCTCTCTCTTTCTACTTCTCTCTTTCCACCTCTCTCTTTCTATTTCTCTCTTTCCACCTCTCTCTTTCTACTTCTCTCTTTCTACTTCTCTCTTTCTACCTCTCTCTTTCTATTTCTCTTTTTCTACTTCTCTCTTTCTACTTCTCTCTTTCTACCTCTCTATTTCTACTTCTCTCTTTCCACCTCTCTCTTTCTACTTCTCTCTTTCTACTTCTCTCTTTCTAACTCTCTCTTTCCACCTCTCTATTTCTACTTCTCTCTTTCCACCTCTCTATTTCTACTTCTCTCTTTCCACCTCTCTCTTTCTACTTCTCTCTTTCTACTTCTCTCTATCTACTTCTCTCTTTCTACTTCTCTCTTTCTACCTCTCTCTTTCTACATCTCTCTTTCCACCTCTCTCTTTCTACTTCTCTCTTTCTACTTCTCTCTTTCTATTTCTCTCTTTCTAACTCTCTCTTTCCACCTCTCTCTTTCTACTTCTCTCTTTCCACCTCTCTCTTTCTACTTCTCTCTTTCTACTTCTCTCTTTCCACCTCTCTCTTTCTACTTCTCTCTTACTACTTCTCTCTTTCTACTTCTCTCTTTCCACCTCTCTCTTTCTACTTCTCTCTTTCCACCTCTCTCTTTCTACTTCTCTCTTTCCACCTCTCTCTTTCTACTTCTCTCTTTCCACCTCTCTCTTTCCACCTCTCTCTTTCTACTTCTCTCTTTCCACCTCTCTCTTTCTACTTCTCTCTTTCTAACTCTCTCTTTCCACCTCTCTCTTTCCGCCTCTGTCTTTCTACTTCTCTCTTTCTACTTCTCTCTTTCCACCTCTCTCTTTCTACTTCTCTCTTTCCACCTCTCTCTTTCTACTTCTCTCTTTCTTTTTCTTTCTTTCTTGTTCTCTTTCTTTCTTTCTATTTTATTTCAGCACCTTCGATTTTTTTTTATTCTCCCCGCCTCCATGTTTTCGTTTTAATTTCTTATTTTGTCAACACCATTTTCCAACAACCCCTCCCTCATGTTTTATCTGTATGTCTGTTTGTCAATTCAAGTCTCTATCGATCTACCTATAAAACGAAATGTATTTGTCTGCGTTGCTAATGAATTGGCAAATGAAATACCCCATCATAAAATGAATTTACGCATATTATGCCAATGTTGCAAGAATTCCATTGGTCGTTTCCTCTGGAATGGCTTGAAATTGGACAGTCCTTGCTTGCTGCATAATTTAACCTTGGAGACACTTTCTTTTCTTAATATATTATAATATTATTCAAATTGCAATGCGCTAACGGTGTATATGTGACATGCAAGAGTTCTTGACGTTAAATTCGATAACTGAAAAGAAATTATAAAATCTCTTGTAGAGTTTTGAAAGTCTAAGTCGTAACTAATATTATACACTTCCATCAAAAAAGAGTTATGCCCCTGCAAAATGTGAGAATTAAAAAAACATTTTGATTAAAACAATTCCTTTTGCTGACTTAAATTGACATAAAAGAAAGAAATAAGAAAAAAGAAACATGGAGAATAGGCATAAAAGAAAGTCTCTGCGTTCGCATATTGAACGTCGTTCTTGATAACGTTTACTACTTTAGACCAACAGAATCTCTTTTATATTTGCGCTAAAGTTTTAATTAATGAATGCAATTCATTTAAATATTCCACTTTTCAAATCACACCAATAAAATTTTTTTTTTTTTTTACCTGACACTGTTAACGATCTTGGCCTTTGATACATTCTTACATTCTTATAAACAGAAAAAATAAAATTCCATTTCTCAAATGTTTATATTTAAATAATTCCTGTTATCCTCTTTTTATTTAAGAATGGATTTCTCTATTTATCATTAGTTAAGAAATATATTTTAGATTACAAAAATGTAAAAGATTTATCGTTAAAAGAGGAAAGTTTCCTGGTTTATAAAAATTACTTGAAAGAAATAAATGAATTTTATTCACCGGATTTACTTAATACTTCAGTTTTATTATATTTCAAATGTTAAACCAAATGAAAATGCATAAAAAAAACAAAGTGTAAAAATAAATATTCATGATAATATTATTTTAGTTACTGAAGAAATCTCTTTTAAAAATATTTTAGGTCTCCCAATCATCAAATTTAAGTGAAAAAAAAACTTTGAGGTCAAAAGAGATTTTTAAAAATCCAATTTTAAAATTTATGTTTCACAACATAAAGAAAAAACAAATAAGAAATCCTCCATCATATTTTCACATTAAAAATGTTTTAAAATTCAAAGATGGTAAATGTTGACTGGGGGGAGGGGAAGAAAATCCGATTAGGTTGTGTGTCATGATTATTGTGATAGATTAACTCTCCTGTCTTGTAGAAGAGATATCGGTATGAAATATATTTTTGTTACAATAATGTTCACTATGTACTAGGCCCAAGAGCCACGCGAGTTAGAGGGTTACAGAGGGAAGAAACACTGGTGATGGGGATATGAGGGGAAGTTAACGGTTAACCCTAGACCTCAACAGGTGACCGAGAAAGCACCCGCGTGGTAATCGATTCAACAAAGTAGTAGTTCGTGGAAAGATATATATATATATATATATATATATTATGAAATGGACAAAATCCGACAATTATTTTAAGACATACTTATGTTTATACATCCTTTTTTAGAGATACAAATATTTAATTCTAAACATTTATAAATGTTTATAATTAAATTAAGTAAATTTAAGAAAATGCTATGTTTATAAATATAGAGCATTTACTTAAATATTTCTATCTATGAAAAAGAATGTATAAATATAATAATGCCTTAAAGTATATATATATATATATATATGATAAAATATAGTTTTAATGAAAGTCATATTTGCGTTCAAGCATGAAACAGTCGCCTTTGGCTGTTGACTTCAATTTGTATATATATATATATATATATATATATATATATATATATATATATATATATATATATATATATATATACTGATTTGCTGTATCACAGCTCTTCAGTGTGGCTAGACACGTAGTTGCTTCATGTCATGATCGGAAACTCTTACCCCCAGGCTATCGGCGTATGCTACGGGGAAAGGAAATTTTTAACGCATTATATACGTGATATAAGCATTGATCAGCTGCCAGAATGCTCTGTTGATTACGAAGAGAATAGCATAGTCGTTCTCCCTCAAAACTAAGCTCGTATCAATTCCACATCAATGATCAGGCCTGGACTTTCGCCAGTTACTATAAACGGTGCACACTTAATGAGACTCTTTTGCTTCCAACGTCTACTGAGACTCGAATTCCCTCCAGAACTCTAGTGGAACTCCTTCTTACGATTAATTACTGAAGATGGTGAGAAAATTCTGAAAGTATCCTAACATGCTTTAGCTTTGCAAAAGTCAGATTACTCTAAAAATGGGGCATTGCTGATATGTATAAGGTAGAACGGCTCAATCACCACTTAGCCGCCTTACTTTACGGGGCCTTGTGGAGGAGGGCATATTTTTTTACCCAGTGGCCACTTTCCTACAGATGCAGCATCACAAGCTTACCGGTGCCCTATCGCTATTTCTGGGGCAAATGTTCGGACGAGTTCCATTCTTTGGTTCCACCAGTTCGGACCTTTACAGTTAATCTTACGGCCACATCACATTGAAACACCTGTTCAAGTACGATCACCGAAGTTAAGCAACGCCGAACCAGGTCAGTAGCTAGATAAGTCACCACTTGGAAATACCAGATACTGTAAGCCTGGTCGTGGGGTTGATGTAATGGATAATGGTTTGGAATTGTCAAACGTGGAGCTTTCGTGAACGCTATACACTCTTCAATCCAAGATATGTCCTCTATATCATTATAATATGGCTTCATACTTCCTACTTTGACATTCATATCACACTTTTCGTTCAGTAAGAATTTTCCTTGAGAGGCTATTGGACCTTGTATTGGATGAACAACAGTATATATATATATATATATATATATATATGCTTCAAGAAGCAAGAGCAAGATCTAAAGGGTCAGCAAATCTAACAGTGATCTCATCTCATAATCCTCACTCTTGCTCCATACGTGGCCTCCTTTGTAAATCACTAGCTGGTCTTAAGATTATCGCACAAAATTTGCTAATTGAATCAATTAAGCTGTGAGATCCTTATACGTCGAAACCGGCAGGAGCGTCCATTATATATATATATATATATATATATATATATATATATATATATATATATATATATATTCGCATGTACGTGAGAGATTCATAGAAGATTAAATTTCAAATACAGTAAAATCAACCTTGAAAACCGAACGCTCCTTTGTGGCCAAATCGGTTAAAGGCACATCAAGCTAAATGACGGTTCCGTATAGGATACAGGTTCGAATCCTATCGGAGAACGAATATTTTCTGTGAAAATTTCTCGGACATTCAAGCCGGTAAATGTTGTTTAACACTGTTTATTATAAACAGAGCATTTACTTAAATATTATCTATAAAAGTATCTATAAAAAGAACGTATAAACATAAAAATGTCTTAATATATATATATATATATATATATATATATATATATATACGCAAAAATGTTATATCTCATAATTTGTAAACAAAGTAATTACAAACAGAATAATTAAACCTAAAATGAAAGAACCCAACATCAATGGAATGTTGCTAAATTTACTAACAAATATACAAAATATATTTCATTAATAGAAAAAGGAAACGACAACACGAACATTCAGGTGCAACCAGCTTTGAAACTAATAAAACCAACAAAATCCATAAAATCTTTTATAATGATTTATGAAAGTTAAAAAATTCTCATATATCTGACATATTTAAGAAGTATATTACAATAATATAGAACTTGTACTGGCAGAAACAGCCTGTATATTGATAGAAAATGACTTAAGTAAATATACATAAATAGAAAGTGGTGTAAGACAAGGATGTACCTTCTCACCGGACTTATTCGACTTTTGTACAGAATTCTGAGAGAATTAGAAGTGCTAACAGAATTAATTATTGATAGCCACAATCTTAACAACATAAGAAATACAGATGGTACAGTGTTGATAGCAAATAAAGAAATGAAACTTATAAAGACTCCTACAGAAAATAGCGAAGGTAAGTGAAAAGAAACGAGTGAATATCAATTTCAAACTATCGAAATACATGTTTGTTAGCAAAAAGAGCCCAACATGCAAATGATAATTTGGAGATACCAAAATCAAGCAATTTAAATATCTAGGAAGTGTTTTAAGAAAGGACAGAAAGTGCGACACTGAAGGCACATTCGGGTATCAAAAGATATTCTCCAAAAGCTAAAAAGAGTATTAAGAATACACAAAAATTCATTAGAAACAAAGAAAACAATACTGAAAAGGTATGTAATTTCAGTTCCCATATATGTCAGTGAATTCTGGATAATCTCATCACAGATGAAGAAGTAATTTGAAGCAACAGAAATGTTTTACAGAAGGATGCTGAGAATAACATGAACAGAACATGTGAGCAGCGACGATATTAGAGAAAATGGAAACAATAATGAAACTTATACTTAGCATCAGAATGATTCAGTTGAAATTTCTAGGGTACATAGTGAAAAAAGATGGCTTGGAAAATTTGTTACTCCCAGGACAGAGTGAAAGAAAGAGGGACAAAAGAAAACAATGCATAACCTAAATAGGGAGCTTGAGTAAATAGATATAGAATAATGTTTAGGAATGATGACAAAAATACAACATTTATTCAGAGCTACAAAAGACACGGAGTGTTGTGGAGAACCACGACCATCAACTTCCTGAAGAAGGATTAGAAAAACAGAAACCCAGCAATTTTTTTGGTTCATTTTTTGAAGGAAGACATTTTCAACATTTAAACTAAATTATAAATATGGAATAAAACATTTCGGATAAAACATTTAGCGTCAATAACTCATGTTCTTTTCTTTAAAAGATTTAAAATATGAAACTATTATTTTATTTACTATGAG